TGCTTCATCAGCTTCTTTTGGGGGGTCCTAGGTGACATTAGGGGTCTTGGAGACCCCTGATGTCTCCATAAAGAGGACCTGTCACATATTTTGCTATCACATAGGGGGGGTTTATTAGCCCCCGTATGTGATAGCAATAAAGTTTAGTGGAAAAAAAAAAAAGGAAAAAAAAATTAAAGTCCCCCCCAAAAAATTTTAAGAAAAAAAAGAAAAAAGAATAAAAAAAAAAAAATGTTTAAGTCCCCACCCATACATACACGCATGCATACATGCGTCGGGGGCGCATACGTGCAAAAAAGACGATTGCGCCCATTACGCCGCACATGTTACATATCGCCGCGAACGTCGCAGTGAGAGCAATAAGTCTAGGGCCATCAATCACTGATAACACTAAACTGATGAGCGGTAAAAACATTTAAAGTAAATACCACCAAAATAAAGCTCTATCTGTCCCCAAAAAATGGTGTAAAATTCATTTCAGTACAGCGTTGCATGACGGAATAAACGTCAGTCAAAGTATCGCAGCGCTGAATACTGAAAAATGGCCTGGCCAGGAAGGGGGTCTAAACACCTGGTCTTGAAGTGGTTAATAGACTTCATTGGGATTTGCCTGTAAGTTTGGGTTTGCAAAATTTTGAAGATTCGCCTAACTCAATGAACCTAACCCGAGCAAACTCACTAATTACTAATTATACCTACATCTAAGTGGTTATTTTGTCAGTGTATACATTACAGATACTGTAAGGGTCTGTGTCAATGGGCTTTGGATTTGTGTCCATGGTATCAGTTTCACATTAGTTTGAGATGCTTCTATTTAGTGTTCTATTTTCCTGGAAACATTTACAAAAATATATCTCATATATATTAGCATTATGTATTTGTTTCAATCAAATACTCTACTTACTAAAATAATCTTTTTTTCCCTAGATCAAGTACGTAACAGTTACCAGTTATGCAGTAATGGGACCCTGAGAGTTATGTATGCTAATGGGATGGGAATCAGTTTCCATAGTGAGCCCCATATTTTGGCTGGCACAGTAACACCTACAATCGGACGGCGGAATATTTCTTTGCCTATGGAGAATGGGTTAAATTCAATTGAATGGCGGCTACGAAAAGAGCAGACAAAAGGAAAAGTAACTGTCTTTGGGAGGAAGCTTCGAGTAAGTGTTATCAGTGTTGACTTACCATTGTGCAGTTAATGGTAAAACTCGATTTTTCTCCTAGGAACATTGCGCAGTGCTCTTTTTATTAAAAGAATTTGGACAAATATATGACAGATGCTTATTGACCAGATACAACTGAAAAATGTTCAGCTATGTGCACAGAGCCTAGAGCATTTTATTTTTGCATTTAGCATAAATCACAGAAATGAATTGAATAAATACAGAAAGACAGGGAGGCAATATATTCCAATAATGAGAAAAACAATATAAATGACAATGGCATGGGGATATTAATATAGGATCACAAAGTACTACCTTTGTAGGATAGAATGTAGCTTTCAAATCATTTTATGTTATTGAATTTTAGGATCTGCTTTATGGCCTCATAGCATATTACTCATAATACATGGCAGTAGAACTAGACAATTTAGTCAGTGTCAGAACCTAGAGCTTTTATTGCATTGGAGGACTAGCCCTTCCAAGTCGATTTTCTATATAATATGATCTGATGGCCCATTGTGATTATGAAGTAACTTTTTTTTAGCAGCTTTTTAGTTGAACATGTATGACCTTCACAAAATATGTCTCATATTGGGGCAAATTAAAACAGAAAACTAAACTTTTCATCCCTTCAGAAAATGAACAAACTAGATATTTTACTATGTATATGTGCAATAATGCACAGTCAGCACTTTACTGGATAACTTAGTAAGTAGAACAATGCATTGGTCATTTCCATAGCAGCCGACCAATTAGTACTACATATTATAGCTGTTCACATTATTATTATTAATAATAATAATACAAATCTTAGTTTTCAGCTGTGCCTTATTTTATTTTGAAGTGAATTATTTCATCAGTACTTTCCAACAGTTTCCATAAGATGACACATGAAGGGAAGCACAACTAAGAATTAAACATTTATATCTGTAAAAAGAACGTAAGAAGAAAATGGTAATGTAATATGGCTGTTGAAGGATTTGTGTATTTTAAATGTTGCCCTCAAAGCCACTTGAAAAGACTGTCTAATATTTCTAATATAGTACATGTTCCCCATAGCAGTACCCAGCTCCCCATTCTTTCTTTTTTTTTTACAGTAGTCAGCATATTAGCCCTTAAAATGGTCATAATGTATTAGATTGTACCGTATTACAATCTAACCATCCTCAGGAAAAAAGACTACAGAGAGGGTCATAAAACTCAAAGCTTGACATTCACGGGTCTATTCACTAAGCTGCCGAGGGCAGCCGAGTGAACAACCGACCCCAAGTGAAGTGAGCCGAACACTGTTTGGCTATTCACTTCAGGCTGGTACGGCTGATTTCAGCCGTACATCGGCTTGCTTCACATGGCTTCGGGTCGGCCGAACATGCTCAGCATGTTCGGCCACAGTCAGCACTTTACTGGATAACTTAGTAAGTAGAACAATGCAGTGGTCATTTCCATAGCAGCCAACCAATTAGTACTACATATTATAGCTGTCCACATTATTATTATTAACATTGTGGACATTATTATTGTGGACATAGTAACTCATACTATTTCAACAATGTATGAATGAAAAGGAACACTCAGTATAGAGGCTTCCTGTTCATTTATTGCTGGGTCTGCAGAATAAGAGATTGTGTCCTCAATCTCTTTTTCTATTTTAATAGGGAAATATCAGGGGTCTGTTTAGACCCCTAATATTTCCCTAGAGCCCCTAACAGTAGAGTAAAAAATAGAACAATAAATAAAAAATAAAATAGGTTGGGAAAAAAAACATAATTTTTAGTTTTGGTTTCGGCCTGGCATAAAAAAAATTTGGTTTTGGTCTTGGTTTTCCATTTCATTGCATCCCTAGTTCCTCTAATTTTTGCCTGTGCAGGCCAGAACTACAAGTTAATGATCGGGCTCTGCAGCTCCTGCTATCCCTCTGCAGCAGCCAAAAGAGGAAAGATAGCCCCCTCTCTCCTGCTGTCAGTTCAGCAAGAGGCCCGAGGACAGAGGGGATTTTATAAAAATTGGATGCTGGAGTGGGCGCCTGGGACCTGTGCTGTTTTCCTCTGATAGAGCCCCCTTTGTCCCCAGGCCCCCCTACTGCCTGGCAGGCTGCGTGGCCCCCTATGATTGTGAGGCCTTCGAGGACTACCTAAAATTGCCTAATGGTAGAGCCTCTGCCTCTAACAGTGTATTCTAGAAGTAGTTTTAACTAAAATAGTGACATGACACAAGAGGTAGAGTTTCATACAAAATGTGCTTAGGGAATTGTGATGTCTAAATGCAGGTCCAATGTTGTCTCATGTCTAAGTATGAATTTAGTACTGTGAAACTTCCTTATGGATTTATTGCAAACGGATGTGGGTTTCCTTCTACACAATAAGTGAAATGTATTTATGGTTTATTCTTTTTCACAGAAATTAGCTAGTATTGTCAAAAATACTGTGCTTCTAAGATAAATCCTATGTTATTCTATTTTAAGTTGTTCTCTAATAAACCATTCTGTTCCATATTTTCTGTTGAGGTCACATTTTTATCTGAATTTAAATTATTCATCATAGTTTCCAGAAAAGTAATACAATTCATTATCTGCCTGTGGCATGGAGAAAAAAGTGCACCTATTCCACATTCTGTAGTGCTGTTTGAAGGAGAAAAAAAGTGGAAAGAAAATAGAAACTTGTTAGTAAAATAATCAAAAAATACTGCTCTTATGAAATGTTTAATAAATGTTCTTTTAAAAATGTATTTTTGCATTACTAGTTGGATAAACAGCAATGACTATAGCTCATCCTGGTCAGAGGATAAATGTATACATAAAAGAAACATCATTCTTAAATATAGAATCTTTAATGGCAAGATACAAAAAAAATACATCATTGCTGATTTGCTATTTGGGCACTTCAGCTGTAGACTATCTGAGAAATTGCACACAAAAAACGTTTTTCTGTTACTGCTGCAAAAGAATAAACAATCATGTTTTCATATTACCTGATATTTGTTTGCTATGTAATGCATCTGAGCATTGTTAATTATCATTGGATTGCTATGCTTTAAAAAAATATCTTATATAGATTTCTCCATAGCAATAAAATGCTTTCTGTACACCCAAAAATCTCTAAAACTTACAGGGTTATTCACAGAGCTGCTGAAGGCAGTTGAGTGAATAACCCAGCTGAAGTGAAGTGAGTCTAACGCTATTTGGCTATTCACTTCAGTCTTGTACGGCTGATTTCAGTCGTACATTGGCTAAAATCAGGCGTACATCAGCTGCCTGCGGCTGAGCCAAAGTGCAGAAGGAGTTTGACTCAGCCAATCCAAAATCTGGATTGGCTGAGCCAAAACTCTGGCAGCTCACACGCTGCCGTTCGCCCCTATTCTCATAGGGGCCGAACGGCAGTGAGTGAATAGACAAATGCCGCTCGACGGCATTCGGCTCAGCTAGTCTGTCCACTACCTCTGAGATAATGAGCCAAATTTATTTTTTAAATGTAAACGAAAGCGAAAATACATTTAAAAAAATATTTAAATAAATGTAAAAAAAAGAAAAATTTATTTTTTTTTTAAGAAAAACTAAAAAACCCATAACAAACCATACCAGATCCTTTAGGTGTGGTAGAAATTATAAGGAGGAACCCCAATTTCCAATTTTAAGGAGGAAAAAAGTGGGGTCCTCCCTACAATTCCCAACTAGACCCTTGATCCGAGCACAGGCCTGGCAGGGCAGAGCGCCCCTCCCCCCTGCCATACTAGGCCACATGCCCTTGGCACTGGGAGGGTGCTTTTCCAGGTTCCCCCCTGGAAAAGCACCTTGTCTCTGTGCCTCTTCCCTACAAACCCTGGGGCATTGGTTGTGGGGGGTGCATCGGGATACTCCTTTAATAAAGGGGCACCAAGATGGGGCCCCACTTTTGTGAATGAGTAAGGGGTACTTGTATCCCTAGCCATTCACTAATGGGTTAAATACAAATAAAAATAAAAAGTTCAGACTTTTAAAAAAAACTTTAATTGAAACAAAAACACAACAAAGGATATCGACAATTCCTTTATTTAAAAAAATCCCATAAATTGATCCAACGACATAACCCAGGGTCAATCACGACGTCCCGTGTTGTCAACGATGACGAAGACTCCTCAAGATAAAAAAAACATGACGCCCGCCGACCCAACCGCATTTGATAAACTCCTGCCGCAGAATGAAGAATCTGACAGATTAATATATACAATGGGGTGGAGCTAGAGGTGACATCACTGCTAGCTCCACCCAACTGTTTACATGCAGGTCCCAGACAAAATGTAAGCAATTGGACTGAGCCAGACACGACATCATGGCCAGCTCTGCCCAGTTGTTGTCATTTAATGACAGCCAAGTGTTCTCACATAACCTGATGACCCCAGTTGTTGTTGGTCATTGGAAGACAACAACTGGGCGAAGCCAGCCGTGACATCCTGGCCATCCCCGCCCAGTTGTTGTCAGGTAATGACAGCCCAGTTTCCTCGAGGACGCTGGGCTGTCATTGAATGACAACAACTTGGCAGAACCAGCCGTGACATCACAGCTGGCCCCGCCCAGTTGTTGTCAGGTAATGACAGCCCAGTTTCCTCGAGGACGCTGGGCTGTCATTGAATGACAACAACTTGGCAGAACCAGCCGTGACATCACAGCTGGCCCCGCCCAGTTGTTCAGTTCTTCAGAAGACCGCTCTCCCTGTATCGGCTGGACCGCTCGGCTGCCTTCGGCTGCAGTATGGGCTATTGTTAATAGCCCGTACAGCAGCCCTATAGTTCGACAGAACCGAAATGAGCCAAAGGATCAGCCGAAGCTACGGCCAGATCCTTCGACTCTTTAGTGAATTAGTAATTGATGTTTGAGATTGTTCCCTTTTCCTTACAAAAAGGGAATTATACTATCACTGTACATTGTCTGCATTTACATTAATGACCATAGTGATCTAAGGTCATCACCAGCCATCATAAGTTTGGCAAAATGGACTTCAGATTACTGTACAACATTGAACCCC